ATGGGGTCTCATATGTAAGGGCAACAGCTTCTGAAATACCAGTATCAGCAAAAAACCAATCTATTTGCGTTTGATGCTTTGTCGTTGGACTACTATTAATTGGTACAAGGTTATGAGCATTTAGAATTTCCTCTAAGGAATCAGTTCGTGTGGACCTGCATATGTTAAAATCTCCTAATATAACCACTTTATTATTTTCCATACTGCGAACTCTTTGAACGTCATTTATAATTTCATTTCGAAATCTTGCTATAGGATATCCGGGACTCCTATAAACAATGATAAATGATGTATCAAGATATTTAAAAGCAATCGATTGATAAGTGGCCCTTGAATTCAAAAACTTATTCGTCTCAAACAGAAGGACCACTCTATGGAAGATACTCTGCTTTGCAAAAATAATTATTCCATTCTTTCCAATATTATTCAATCGATTGCTGTCAATTCTTCCTATGATGTTGAAATCTATAAGGCTGTACTCTTCTCTTGGAAGAGACCAGGTTTCGACAAAACATAAGAAGTCAGCGGAACAAATAATTTTATCGTTGGATATATCTTCGCGATGGGCACGAAGAGACTCAACATTGTGGTAATATAATGAGATAGTATTTTCATTGGCCAAGAATTCGTATTGCGTAGTCAAGGTCTTTTCCTCTCTTAAACTTTGAAGTTCAGTTTGGACATTTGTTGCTCCAAATCTTGTTGGAGGAACAAAGTCGCCTATTAGGAAAAGACCCGATGCGCTTGTTGCCCTGCTACACGCTACATAAAGTGAAGCTCGCTTAATGCCTCTTTTAAGATGCACTGCGACTTTGCTGTAGGTGGCTCCTTGGCTTTTATGGATGGTAATAGCCTCAGCAGGAACAACTGGGAATTGCTTGCGATCTACTGTAGAATGCTCTGAAGTTCCACATCGAAATACTCGTGAAACCTTTTTTATCGGAGTCCAATCTGAATGCTCATTTCCTCTCACTTTTGATCTAGCAATAGCTCCAACCGTTGGATCAGAAAACTTAATCCACAGCCCTGTAACCAAAAAGCGAACCGTTTACCATACAACTGTCTATTTGCATGAGGTCGCCAGTTGCACCATTTACCAGTCCATCATTGGTGTCTATATTAACGGTTACCATATATTTTGCAGTTCTTTTCAGATGAAGAATATATGATAATCCCTGGGTTTCCGACGTTTTCATATTTTTTGCATTTCTAAGAGTTCTTTCTCTGTGACTCTGCTGCATGTTTGCCGATTTAATTGTATCTATTGCAGTTGAAATAAACTCTTCTGTGTTAATTTGTGCCAGTTTCAATGTATTATAGCGATCCACCTCATCATTTGAGCAAAATAGGTGGATGGCATCGTCGGGAACCTCAGTTGGGGGGACTACTCTCTGCCTAAGGAGTTCTATGTCTGTGACCGACATGTTGGCTTCAGACATATTGTTTAGAGCTAGCGCAAATGCGTGGTCGTCGCGTTGCCGCATTATTTCGGTCAGCTCAAAAAATTTAAAATTATCCCAAAGATTAGTTCCAGCGATAATGTTATATGGATTGTTGGTATTTTCTAAGAATATCCAACGATCCCCAACTGGAGAAAGCTGCTTGAGATCTCCAAACACAATTATTGATTTGCCACCGAATATTAAATCTTGGCTTCTAAAAATTTGTCTTAGTCTTTGATCCAAATACCAAAGCATTTTGGAACCGACCATCGAAATTTCATCAATAATTATTAATTGTAGGTCCATTAACTTACAATGAATTGTGTTAACTGAGTCATTGCTTAAAGGCCTTAATGGACCAGATGACTGGTTAACTGGAAGGGAGAATATGGAGTGAAGGGTGAGTCCTCCAATTCCAAAAGCAGCTTTTCCGGTAGGAGCACATAATAATACCTTTGGAGAATCAGTTGCCCCAGGAATTTTACTTGCTCGCCAAGTTATAGACTGATAAATAGTCGAAATCAATCTACTTTTGCCTACTCCAGCCCCTCCGCCAACGTATTCATAAAATGTTTTTTTTGCTGCTACATTATGCATTACATGGGCATAATACTGGCGCTGTTTTGAATTGAGCGACCGGGTAAGCGAGCAAAGATTGTCTTCTGATACCAACGGTGGAAGTCTAATAAGTTGAAGCTCGCCCTCTTCAACGTTAGCAGCATCATCATCCTGAAACATATTTATGTTTTGGCCGACGTTTGGCACTGCCAGAGCTCTGAACTCTTCATCTAAGTATTGGGAAGCAGGTTGGTCAGGAAGAGGACCACTTTCTTGTCTATCAACATTTTGCAGCTCTTGAAGAACTCTGTCCAATTCCATATCATCAAAAACATCGTATTCCGCTTTATTGCGTTTAATTAGCTCATAGTTGTTTCTGAAGGTGCTCTCGTTATCGTTGGAGATGAGGTCAGTATCTTCATTTCTCCAGGGAAAGAAAAGCATTACGTGCTCTCGAAAATAGTCGGATGGGGAAGAATTTAAACTAAATCGGACCCATCGGAGGATTAGGGCATGCTTACGTTTTTTTACAAACCCAGTCCCATCCAGCAGTTGGTAACTTTGTTCGCCTGCCAAATTTTCGTTATCTGGTTCCAAGTCCATCGGCTCTTCATAATCTTCGTTGGAAGGATTTGCTCGTGTATTTGACCTAGAAAATTTGTACCAAGCCGCAAATTCTGCAAGGCATACTGACTCTAATAACTCATGCCTTTGCACATATCGGTCGAGTAAATTTCGCTCAAAAATATCAGTTGAGTCTCCTGGAAGCTGTTCTAGTTCTCTGTTGGATCGAACTATGCGAACTCTTTTATCTGGATGGCAAGTGTTTATAAAAATATTTCCTTCACTAGCCTCAGACATGTGTAAGCCTAAAATATTGTAGGCAGCTTCTTGGGCTGATATCTCCGTAGCGTTTATAAATTTGCTCCCTAGGTGTTGCAACTTTCTTTTAATTGAAATGTTTCCGTGTTGCATTTCAGTCATTGCTTCCCGCATCAGTTGAGACACGCCGCGGTTGGATTTGTTAATGTAGTTAATTATGTAACTACAACAGGCATAAGCGTCTAAGATAAATTGGATATCCATGTTGGCTCTATGTAATTCTAAGATACTCTTATTATACGCATTTAACAACCTATCAGAAAATTGACGACGTAAAAATACCTGGGGCTTTTTTAAGCTGGATCTAACTGCAAGCTTGTACTCCTCAAATGTGCTTCCAAGTTGGGAAAGAAAATAATTAAAATCGTTGTAGGTCGCTGCTTCATCTTCAGGACAAGATTTTAAAATATTTTTAATTTTTCTAAACAACGCTTTATGAGTGTCAAGACTGGCTTCATTTTCTTCCAAAGGATATAAGATGAGAGTTTCAGGCATGGGAGGGTATGGCATATTGAAGCGGCAAAATTCCTGGCCTCGCAGTTCTCTTAAGCACGATGAACTATGCTTATGGCGCTGATATTGAATTACTTCTTGCAATTCAGGATCGTTTCCGCTGGTAGTAATAAACCTATCAATAAAACGTACTAATTCATCAGAATTTTCCGCTCCTTCGAGGTTTGGCGCTCCAGAAAGCCAGTACATTCCATGAGAGTGTGGAGAGCCTCTGTGCTGGAACTCGATCCTCCAATAATAATGTGTTAGGGTATACTCCCCAAATATTTCGGAGCTTTTGAATAATTTTAATAATTGACGGAACCTGTAGTCAAAGTAACGGGAGCAAGTTACTGGGTCGGATCGGATCAGTCGAGCTTTTTCGGTACTGGATAATGATGCAGCTTCCTCCTCATTTATTATTTTGTTATCTAACAAAAGAGAAAGAATAATCAAAAGTTCATTCCATTTTGTTTCAGCAGCAGAAAGGGTGATAAAAAATGTAGGCAAACCAAATTGTCTTATCATTGCTATGACCTTTTTCTTTTCTGCTTCCCAATGAGCAGGAGCTGAACGCAAACCTTTTAAAATATGATACCCGTCGTCATGCTGCACTAGTCTGTCAATAAAAGATTCATCCCTTACGTTTGCAGCAGTTACCGCACCTGATTTTTTTCGTAAGGCAATGGAAATGGAGTTTTGAATTCGCTGCATCTCATAAAATTTGTACATATAAAGGACTTTAGGAACAACTGCACAACGTCGATCGTAATATCGAATTTGGGACCTCGCTTTTTTTGCGTAGGTGGTCTTGGCCTTAAAAATTTCACCACAAGATATTGTTGGAAATGAAAGTTCTTCAGCATCGTCATCTAGGGTTAAATTTGTGGGACGGCGGCCTTCACCGGGAGCCAAAGCAATACGCTGAAAATCATTCCCGTTATTATTTTCTAATAGCGTTTCGTGACCACCAGGATTTAAATTTTCATCCTGTTGGTCGTTTGGTTGAGAATGTTGAAGGCGCAAAAGCTGTTCAACTTCTTCTCGGTCAGATTCATCTGCGATGAATGGTACTTCTTCGCTATCTCTCATTTCATTCAGCCAATCACCAATTAATGAGATATTGTGCTTTCTATACAGCTCTGTGTTTACTAAATAACGCACTGCTTCAAGCACTCTCGACGGACGAATTGTTTCCGTCATGAAATTATGGGAGTATTCTAACTTTCTCTTTAAGTGAACTTGGATAACATGTGTAGAATCAAAAGAGCGGGGGAGCGCACTTACTGTATCAGGTACAGAAATTGGGACATTAACTACAGCGCCTCTTATTCCGCATTGCCTTTCATATCCTAGGGATATAATGCGCATAAAGGGAATTCGGGGAGAAATGAGGCGCTCTTCAAGACATGTTAAATTTTTGAGACACTCGGGAATCTCTGGAAAATCAAAACCATTACCAAGACACAGAGATGGTATTCTACCTTTGGAAACGGCCTGGCGACATGTGCTGCAAAATTTGTATTTGCCGGACGGACTGGGAAATTTACTACTTAAATAAAATGCGTTGCCTACATTCATATTCGGAAACTTAGACGATATAGTAAATTTGTTCAAAGCACTCACCTGAGATATAAACCAAGTCCCTCCACAGCATATGCAGCATTCAGTTGGTCCGTATTTGATGTTTTGTAGATACTGCTCCTTTGCTGACGCTCGGCTCCTTCGGCGTTGTTGTTCCCGTTGATCCTCTCTTTCGTCTGCGGAAAGTCCAGCTCTAGCATCCATGTTTCGTTGAGACTGTCGTGAAGATTCAGCCTGTCGATTCTCCGAACTGGTCCTATACGTCAAGAGTCGTTCCTCAGCCATTTCCCGAATCCGTTGCTCCCGAAGCCTCCTCTGTAGACGTGTTTCCCGTTGTTGCAATGTCCTGTTGTGTATCTGATGTTCCCGAGAAATGGGGTCGTTCCTGGCAATCCTGTGAGCTTCCGCGTCCCGCTCTCGCTCCGGTCCTCGATTTGCATCATTCGCTCTCCAGACAGCGCGGCTTGCAGTGTTTTGTGACTGCTCTCTTTGTCGTTCCTCAGAAATTGCCCGCATCCTTGCGTGTGCTGCAGCATCCCGTGTACGCTCGGGTGCTCGGTTAACCTCTGCCGCTCTCCAGGTAGCATGATCGGCAGTATTTCGCAACTGCTCCCGTCGTCGTTCCTCGGAGTTCGCCCGTGTCCTTGCATGTGCTGCAGCATCCCGTGTACGCTCGGGTGCTCGGTTAACCTCTGCCGCTCTCCAGGTAGCATGATCGGCAGTGTTTCGCAACTGCTCTCGTCGCCGTTCCTCGGAGTTCGCTCGGGTCCGCGCGCGCGCTGCAGCATCCCGTCTACGCTCGGGTCCTCGGTTTTCCTCTGCTAGTCTCCAGGTAGCATGATCGGCAGTGTTTTGCAACTGCTCTCGTCGCCGTTCCTCGGAGTTCGCTCGGGTCCGCGCACGCGCTGCAGCATCCCGTGTACGCTCGGGTCCTCGGTTTTCCTCTGCTAGTCTCCAGGTAGCACGATTGGTAGTGTCCCGCAACTGCTCCCGTTGCCGTTCCTCGGAGTTCGCTCGGGTCCGCGCACGCGCTGCAGCATCCCGTCTACGCTCGGGTCCTCGGTTTTCCTCTGCTAGTCTCCAGGTAGCACGATCGGTAGTGTCTCGCAACTGCTCCCGTTGCCGTTCCTCGGAGTTCGCTCGGGTCCGCGCACGCGCTGCAGCATCCCGTGTACGCTCGGGTCCTCGGTTTTCCTCTGCTAGTCTCCAGGTAGCATGATCGGCAGTGTTTTGCAACTGCTCCCGTTGCCGTTCCTCGGAGTTCGCTCGGATCCGCGCACGCGCTGCAGCATCCCGTGTACGCTCGGGTCCTCGGTTTTCCTCTGCTAGTCTCCAGGTAGCATGATCGGCAGTGTTTTGCAACTGCTCCCGTTGCCGTTCCTCGGAGTTCGCTCGGGTCCGCGCACGCGCTGCAGCATCCCGTGTACGCTCGGGTCCTCGGTTTTCCTCTGCTAGTCTCCAGGTAGCATGATCGGCAGTGTTTCGCAACTGCTCTCGTCGACGGTTTTCGGAGATAGCTCGAGTTCGTGCCCGCGCTGCAGCGTCCCGTTCGCGTTCGGGCTCACGATTTTCCTCTATAGTCCTGCGAGCTGCATGGCTGGCAGTATTTAGGGCCTGCTGCCGTCGTCGTTCTTCAAAATTTTCCCTGGTATTGGCGTAAGCTGCGGCGTCCCGTACACGTTCAATAGCTCGAATTCGTGCACTACGCCTTCTCAGAGCGAGGGCAGCAGTTTCTCGTGCTCGAATTTCTGCTACCACATCGATATTCGTAGAGCGAGTCAAGGCAATATGCTGGGCATTTCTGGTCCTTATCTGAGACGAATTTTGTGCATATCGATCTCGGCTACGAGCAAGCGCAGCTTGCCTACGCTGTTCTTGCGACAAAGAAGATTTACGTGGCATTCTCTGGAATTGGCTGTTAAAAAAAATTGGAAGAAAAAATACATAGCGAATGTTTGATTAGACCACATTAATAAAAGTGGTATTAATGAATGGGTTATGGCTAAGTCCTAGTAGAATTAACTTCCACTTCAAACTGTATACAAACGAATGACTTACCAAATCAAATATTTCCAAGATTTGTTTTGTTGTTTTAACCACTTCAACTTTTCACTTCTACACAAACGTTTAAAAAAAACTCGCACTGTAAAAAATACTGCACCACTTGTATAAGTTGTAACTCGGCAACTGTCAATCACAGACTAATCCGCAGCTTAGGCGTACGCGTCAATAAATACTCGTAAGTTGGTGATTTACCTGTTAATTTGGTTATCCTTTTCTTTTTCCCTACATACAGGTAGTGCACGTGTCGATGATGCAATTTTACGACATTTGGTAACCCTTTTTAGAAGGGTCTTAGGTAAATTAGGTCGCTTGTGCACTGTAATAAATGTGCAGGTGTGCGCACCTGATACCTATTGTTAATATTGCGTAATTTTAAGAAAAATTAAAAATAACCAGGTATATAATTTCTACAAAATACCTTCTAAATATAAGGAGTTTTTCAAGAGGAAGATGCGATCCGTTTTTGAAATAAACATCAATAACTTAGGCAGGTCCACCAATAATTGTATAATGCGATAATTCAGATTATTTCTATATTTTGATCATTCTTGTTATACTATTATATATTAAGAAGTCCTCAGATTTTAAATTACCATTGTTGATTATACAAAAACCGTCATAGCTTCGATGCTGTTAGCCTTTATATATTTTGTTCGACATATTTGATGTCTGCAAGGGTATATAAGCTTCGGCTTGCCGAAGCTAGCTTCCTTTCTTGTTTTTTATAAAAATTCCCGAAAATCACCATTTTTTTTTAGGCCGTCACACTAGTTGTGCCCCTTAAACATATAGGTATATTCAAATTTTGATAACCATTCAGAATTTACTTGAATAACTTTTACTTTATTTCTATAGCTTTTGTTCCACATATCAGCAAATCTTTTGAATAAGTAATCAAGTACTTTCTTAGAAACATTTTCAATAATTTCGTAACCATCAGATTGAAATCTATGTTGTAGGTCGTCATATACTTTTTTAGCTTTATCAGCAAATTAACCTGTTGCTGAGCACCACATCTAAAAAATATTTAAACGTGCAATTTTGCACTGATATGAATTGCCTGTATATAAAAACAGGGTTAATAAAATTAAAAAATCACATACATATGTGCAATTAAGATTTCAAAGCACAAACGAATATGACGAACAAAATATGCACGAACACAATAAAACACAAAATTGGTGCGAAAACATCAAAACACAAAATATGTTTGAACACAAAAAAGGGAATAAGTCAGAAAGTTGCAAAAAGTTGCAGCTCAAATTTTAAACATAGTTTAAGAAAACATTCACTAGTATTAATAAACAAGTTTCATTAAAGGGTGAGACTGGTATCACAACTTTTTCTTTATCTAAATTCTATGTACATACAAAAACTCGCCACTCGAAAGGTCACTAATGAAACACTAACTTTAAAACAATAACACAACACATAATGTCATAAAAATTACTTAGTTTTATAGTACATGCCTTTATTTTCGTACTCCATTTTATTTGATGATGATCGGACTCGATTTAATATTTAAATAAAATTTTTTTGTAGGAGCTAATTTTCAAGCTGCGTTCACTGCAACGATCACGTGTTTAATTTGTCTCTTTTCTCTCGCTATTCGTAAAGCGAAGGAAAGAAATAGATCGAAAATAAAAATACTGTTCGTTTCATTGATCTGTTAAGAAATATTTTTTAAACAAAAAGTGACCAATTTCGAACTTTCGTTTTTTATTTTTGGCCTATGGAATCAACCACATCGCGATGTGGTCTTCTTCAGGGTGTAGCGGCAAATAGGACGAGCTTAGGGTTAAGGCCACTTTTTATAGGCCCGATTCCCGAACGCCATGACACTTTTAGGATGTCGTGATGACATTTAAGAAAGGATACCATCCGGGAGTGGGAGAAAAATCTTGCATATTATCTGCTATAAATTCTAGTATTCATTTTATGAAAATATAAATCCACAATTTCCAACTAGTTAATTACCAAAATTTCATTTCTTTCATTGCCCTTTTCCTTCATTTTTAATTAGATTATTTTATATTAATTACAGTTTATACTAAAACTTATAAAATAATCAAAATACTAACGTATTGGGACGGACCCCAATTACGTAGGGAAACTTAATCGATGCTCTGAGCCACAGGCAGCGAGAAAGCATTGCCGGCTTCTAGGCATTTATAAAAATCTGTGCATGTTTGTGAGACCCCTCCCTGCAGTACTGCGCGCTGGTTCGTAGCTGGTGAAATAGGCGCTTACCAGCAGACCACCCCTACTTACCCATCGGGCCCAAGTAATGCGATCTTTCATTTCCGTTTTTGTATGAAATGTCCGCAAATAGGGTCAATCGCCACCGTGTCGTATACCCAGGAACTAGTGAAACAGTGTCCCATATTAAGGGAAGTAATGTAAGTACTTACATGGGACCCCATGGAATGGTCGGTAATGTAAGTACCCATTATTATTTAAAAAATAATAGAAGTAACAATTGTTGAAATGGATTATTAATTTACTTATTGTAACAGCAACAAGACTTTAGTTTTAATTCTTTAATCACTTTATTCAAATATGCGACTGTTCCTTTTAAGTGTCTGACGCCGAATGCCTTTTTATTCTCTTCCTTCTTCTCCTCGTTCAGCCGCGTGAGCGAGCTCGCAATACATGATCATTAACTTATTTTATTCTATCCCTGCAAGCCTTTGGAAGATAAATTTATCCCCTATCGTCTAGAAGACACTTCTTAGTCACTTCTGGAAGATAGAAAGACGATAGAAATTTTTGGAAAAAAAGAAGAGTTTTTTATCGCCTAGAAGTCACTTATAAGTCACTTCTGGAAGATAGAAAGACGATAGAACACATTTTACAAAAACAAAATACACATCTATCGCCTAGAAGTCACTTCTTAGACACTTCTGGAAGATAGAAAGACGATAGAAATTTTTGGAAAAAAAGAAGAGTTTTTTATCGCCTAGAAGTCACTTCTGGAAGATAGAAAGACGATAGAACACATTTTACAAAAACAAAATACACATCTATCCCGAAGAAGACACTTCTGAGTCACTTCTGGAAGATAGAAAGACGATAGCACACATTTTACAACAACAAATATACAAAAAAAACTATCTCCCAATTCACTTCTGGAAGT